CAGTGCCCTATCTTGGGTGGTGGGAACTTCATCCCCATCTCCAGCTGCATCAATCATTCTTTTACAGTAAAAGTCCTCCCTGCCCCTAGCTGTTCTGCGGAGGGGCCCTGGCTGTGCTGGCAGGACTTCGGTGTCCAGGGTAGATCTCCAGTGAGGAGTGAGGTCTCAGAATCCTGATGGGTCCCAGGCCTCAGTCCTCCACAGCTGCTGGCATGATGCAGGCCAGTGGGTCTCGGGGAGCCCTCCACAGATCTATTTTTATATGGAACTTGCTCACTAGATAGAGAGGTGGCCTGCAATCCCCACAACCCCTGTCTGAGCCACCTAGGGAGGGAGGGGCCGGCTGGGGAGGTGGTTCCTTTGAGTAATTCTGGAGATGTTTTATATTTCTTGGGCTCTATATGCAGGACAATTTAATAAAAACGTGTCTGTGATCTGGTGCCTCTGAGTGGCCGTGGTTTAGCATTGAATACCCTGTGGGTGAGGGTTTCTGCATCCCTCCCAGGCATGTCTCAGATCCATCTGTGTAGAGGTGAATCAGACCCTGATTTGATTGTGCTGTGAAAAAATGCCACGATCTAATGGGGACACATTAAGGGAACATGATGGAACAGTGTGGCAAGGAGCAGGGGACACTGGGTGCCATGGGGCTGTCACCTGGTCTTTAGAGCAGTAAACCCCAAGGTGTTGACCTTCCTGGGACCATATATATTGCAGGAGCAGGAAATGAGTTGCATTTTGGACACGCATTTGAGATGGGTGTGGAATGTGCAGCAGAGATTTCTTGGATGCAGGTGGACATCTGGATCTAGAACTTGAGCACAGATGTGGGCTAGTGACAGCTTTGGAGCTATCGATACACAGGCTGAGGGTTAAAGTCATGGTAAAAAGGTCACCTGGCCAGCACATGGTGAAGAGGGAGTGCCACAAAAACTTCAACATTAGGGGGCAGCTGGAGCAGCACAGGAGCCAGAATGCAAGCAGCAGTGGAAGGTAGAAGTCAGGAAGGGGTCATGCCACATGGCTCAAGGAAGTGTGAGTTTTGGTGTTAAATACAGAGAAACCATGGCGGAAGAGGGGTGGTTAGTCTGGATGTTTTCAGTGACCTTTGCTAGGGTTACGTAGTACCCAAAGGCTGGACGGCTTACTGAACAGGTGTTTGTTGTCTCACAGCTCTGGGGCTGGAAGTCCAAGATCAAAGTGTCTGTAGGGTTGCTTCCTTCTGAGGACTGTGAAGGGAGGACCTGCTCTAGACCTCTCTCCTTGGCTTGCAGAGCCAGATTGGACTGATCTGCATTGGCCCACCCTGACAGCCTCATTTTAATTTAATCACTCTTTAAAGGTTGTCTGCAAAGTCCTATTCTGAGTTACCGGGGGTTAGCATTTCCACACAGGAGTTTGGAGAAGGGCAACTCAATCCCTGACAGTAAGGGAGAAGGCTGCATGAGATCTGGTAGCAGGGTTGGGGAAGGGAGGAAGAGTGGGCTAAGATGGTAACCAGCACAGCTACCTGGGAAGTGTAAACAGAGGTCCACCCAGGCAAGGCAAGAGGGCTGGGGCCTGGCTCAAGCAGTTGAATGCCTGCCTAGCAAGTGCCAGGCCCTTAGTTCAAACCCCAGAACCACCAAAACAAACAAAAAATGGTTTTCCTTAGGATATTTTTCATCCCATTTTTACTAGCTGTGCCTTGTGGGGCCTTGGGGCAAGAGAGGTCAGAAACTGTTCCAGGTCATGGATGACCTCATCATGTTTCCCAGTACACTGGGAACAGACAAGGGAGATGTTTTGACTAAGGCTGAGTGTGTAAGGCTGAAAATGAAATTCATCTCCCATTGCAAAACTATACATCCCCTACAGATGGGCTCCCTGTCCTCCCTCTGCCACCGCCACACTTATTGAATGCCAGCTGGGGCATGTAGCCTTCTGCAGCCAACTCGAGGTACATCCTCAGAGATCATCATGTCTCCATGCCAATGCTTCTCGGCCTATTGTGCCAGCATTGTTGCTTATGGGCACAGAACATGTGCAGATGGATCGAGGCTTTTCCTGGTACCTTGGTGCCTAGGGCATGTCTGTCTACCTTGTCTACCACTCGAGGATCAGGAAATACCACCACACAGACCCTAATATCTAGTAAGGGAAAGTTGATGGCTGAGTGTATTGGCAAGAAGTGCAGGCCACACCTGGCAGTGAGAGGGTAGGGAGAGGGGACATGTTTGACAGGTTAGATGATGCAGGGAGATGATCAAGGGCAGAGAAAATGCCTCATCCTGTCTAGAGGTGGCATCCTAGCCAAAACTATAGAATCCTTGAGCATGCATCATGCTGAATTTGAAGTGTGAGTCAACAGCTGACACACTGTGTGAAATAAAAGGAAAGCAAACTTGATCACTGTGCTTAGACATGCCCTTAGATGTTGAGGTACACTTTGCTTTTCAGTGGTTGTAGGAGTGCACTGAGGAGGGAAGCCCTGCATTGGTATGGGAACTCACCGTCATTGGTGGAGATGGGGCTCTTAATCCCTTGGAGAGGAAAGGTTATGTCTGATGCTTTGAAAGAACAATGCAAAGGTGATACCTGGTCTCTCACACAGATGCTAAGTTCATATAAGTGACCTAGCTCATATTTAAGGCAATACATTTGGGTTATTTCAAACAGGGAGCCCCAAGTAGACTTTTTGGAAATACCAGGGCTCTATAGGGCCCAGAGGAGCCTATCTTTATTTGCTCTCTCAGGTTTCTTGAACTGCCTCTTGGAACCTGAGGAAGGAGGACGCTGGGCTCCCACTTCTCTTTCCACCAAGAGTGGTAATTTAGTATAAACTAAATTGCCCCAAGGGAGGAGCTAGGTAATATCAAGGAAGAAGCGATCTTATAGGGATTGCTTTGAACTGGAAAAGGATTCTCTAAGGGCCAAGGAAAGCTGCTACTCATCTCTAGCTGACTGTGGGCCTGTGGTGACAGATTTTATTTTTGGAGACTAGCAATCTTTGTGAAATCTCTTGAGTTTTAAAAATAGTTAGCAATTGAAGCTAGGCAGAGGTGGCTCACACCTGTAATCCTGGCTACTTAGGAGGCAGAGATCAGGAGGATCAAGGTTCAAGGCCAGCCCGGGCAAATAATTTAAGAGATTCTGTCTTGAAAATACTCAACACACAGACAGACGGACAGACACACACACACATGCACACACACACACACACACACACACACACGCACACAAACACGCGCATGCGCCGCGGCTGGTAGAGTGGCTCAATTGGTAAAGCACCTGCAAGCATGAGGCTCTGAGTTCAAACCCCAGTACTGCCAAAAAAAAGAGAAAAAGTGAGCAAATAATTTAAAATTAAAAACAAACACCAACAAACTAACCCAAACATTGAGGGTGAATTACGTCTGTGGGCTGGCAGTAAGATTTAAATTTCCTTTGCAACATCTCTGCCCTGTGGAATAGTTTAGCCCATGCTTAAAAATCTTGGGTGGAGAATTCTTTCCCTTCCAAGCCAGCACCTTCTATAACATGAAGGACTAGCTCAGTCACAGATGTCAATTAGGCACCTGCTATATACTGTGTATTGCCTACGACTGGCTTTATTTAGGTAGTGATGTGAATGGAAGGAACCAGGGTGAGCCTGGGTCTGGGTGGAACATGTTGGGTCCTAAGTGTTTCCTAGATGTCAGGCTCTTTTCAATGCTGCCCCAGAGAAGGAAGAATTCATAGGTTGGACTACTTCCTTACCATGAGAAACCTTTCTTCCAAATGCTGTTACTGGCCAAAGGGCTTCTTCATAACTGTCCATGCCCAATAACGTGGCTGAATCACGACCCCAGGCTGCCTTCTCAGGAAGAACCCTCTGTCCTCAGAGTTTCATGTGGGTCATTTTGGTGTAGAGAGCTCTAGGAAGGGTCAGATCTGCCTGAGCCCCGGAGACTTTGGGAAGCAAGAAGCATGATCACTGAATTTTCCTTGGCCTGGCTTTGTCTAACCAAGGATGCCTTCCCTCTGTAAGTTTACTATAGATGTCCTAGATTTTGCCTGTAATAAAGGTTTTCACACTTCCCAAGGGGTGTGGCTGTCCAATAACACCCACTCCACTAGTGTCGGCTCCAAAACTGTCCCCACATTCACATAGCACAGCTAGAGATGACAATCAGGTTGAATACTGATTAAAAAACACCAGGGCTGTTGGAATGGCTCAAGTGACAGTGTGTCTGCCTGGCAAGTGTGATGCCAAGTTCAACCCCCAGTACTGAAAAACAAAACAAAACAAACAAACAAAAAAAACAAAAACCCAAAACATAAAACCAGAATTTATTGAAAACAGGTATATTTCACTATCTCTGATTAGAACAAATCACCATTACTCAGGAAAACAATATGTATAAAACTCTCAGGAAAAGGAGAATAAAAACTCAGCCTGTACAGGATTGAATTAACAATATAGAATATAACAAAGAGCCATAAATGAGAAAACTATGTGCCCATAAGCCTGGGATAGCAGTTTCCAAATTCTACTTCCCAAATTCCCTGAACACCATTCTTTGAGCTGGAGCACAAGGACTTCACTGCTTACTGCATAACTAGCCTCTATCCAGGCACAGCCTAGACACGTGGAATGAAGTCACCAGACAAGTCACACTTGCCCTCCCAATGATCCCCAAAGGAGAGCAATGCTCTCTGCAGAGCCTACAGACCTGGCAGGGACAACTGGACCACAGTTTAGTAACAGTTACTCTGTGGCCAGTCACCTAAGACCTTATACTACTCTGAGCCATATGCCTCCCTCATCCAATTCCCACTAACTAGAGAGGTAGAGGTGCAAGATATGGAAGCTGCCTCCAAACCAATTTTTGGTCTTTGATAAACACAAAATACTGTTCCACAGTCAGCTTGGCAAGAACTAATGATCACAGCAGGTAAAAGATTCTAAGGCCCCATTTAGAACCCCTATAGGAGGAGGAGGAGGAGGAAGAGAGGACACATGTGTGTGCTGCTGCTGTGGTCCCTGCTGCCCCTGTCCTGCTCTGCTGTCTTCTCACTTGTGGGTCCGTATGCTGCTGCAGATTTGGGCAAGACGGCTCTAAAAATAGGAGATAGGTCATTTAAAGAAGGTGGTACCTGGCATTCTTGCCCATCAATGGCTTAGTTAGTCCACACCCAAATCTGAGTGAATCTTAGCCCCTTCATTCTCTATTTGTATCACACACTAATCAACCTTTCTGAAACTCAGTTTCTCATCTGAACAAAGGAGAAGAACAGCATCACGAATCAGACAGTAAAGGTATCAAATGACTATTTGGGAACCGTAATGCTAGAGGATGACTGTTACCAGGGATGTATGTGTTTACGTGTGTGATCTTAGTATGTGTTTGGGAACCTAGCTCTACCCTTATCTTCTTCCTTGGGTGTATCCTTCACAGACTCCACAGAAGAGCAGGCCTATGGCAGCTATGTATGCACTAAGTGCTTTCATCTGCACCCAAGACCATGGCTGACCAGACCAGGGAGGTTTATCAGATCAAAGCTGGCCAATTAAATTCTTCCTCCTGAGAATTTAAATTAAAACAGGAAAATGAATAGTACTGGAACTGGAACAATAAACTTAGGACTGGAGGTATGGCTGCCCCAAACCACACACAAATTAATGTTAAGGAAGAACAGAACCAAGAGCTTGACAGAAGGTGATGTGCTGGGAGGGAGGATGAAGATGTGCAAAACAGATCAGTGCCTGAGCTACAAAGCCAGAGAGGTACTAGAGCTGGTGCACAGAGTGAAGGTCTCTAACTACTACTGCTGACGGTCCTTAGAACTCTGGAGGCCTGGCTGGCTGGCCCTTTCCTGGATTCTATGCAATTTCTTTTACCAGGCCCCTCCTCCTTGCCTTGACTAACTACTCTGAGGAAGTTCTGGTTCCTGGTGGTCAGGGGCCCTAGCATACCCTGGTATGAACTGCGTCAGTGAGACAGACAGAACTTTGTTGTGGAACTTCAATGGCAGGTACATAATTCTAAGTATCAAGTATTGGCTCAGACCCAAAATCATCCTAAAGAAAGCTGAACCAAGAAAGCTCCTGGACGCCCCCATGTGTGGAGATAAATATGAGACTTACCGAGAGCTTCTTAATATTTCCTAAGGTCTCTGGATCCAGCTGTGCAATATCCATCCTCTGCAAATCACTGGCCAAGAACTGCATGCTCTGTACAGAGGGGAGGTTGGGTTAAATGGCATGTCCCTTAGGATGGGAAACTCTACCCTGTGACCTGTGTGCCCCAGGATCCCACTGATATTGTACACATGGTGGCAGGGAATGGCTGAGATGGAGAAATGGCAAGGTAGGCAGGAGGGGTGTTAGGCCTAAGGAGACAATGATGTCATCAGCACTATCACTGAGTTGGATCATCAGGTATAACACCATGCAGACCACATCTGAGAGAAATCATGTTACCCTGCGTCTTGGGGGCTGAGGTCAGCAACTTTCTCTTCTTAGCCCAGAGAAACTGGGCTTGGCTGCTTCAGAATCCCTCAGTGTTGTACAGAGTCCCTTCTAGACTACATGCACACCCCCACAGTGACTTCTGCTGTGCTGCCTTCGACATCACTGTTACTGCACACATCACAGATGTTATCACTATGACCTTATCTCCACTACTGAACTGCTTCAAGGGCAAGAAATCTCCTACACTTTGGGCCTGGTGTCATCAGGTGGCAAATGGTCACTGGTGGACATATGGAACCCAAAGTGGGACAGGGAGCCTACCAGCCTGGGAGAGAATACCAGGTTCTGAGTGCTATGGATGCATGGAGATCAGAACCCACACCATCAAAGTACTCTGTAGGAAAGTGGGATAACAGCCCAAGGAAGAGAAATGTTTCACTGTGAGCAGCACAATGTGGCCTGGCTTTCCAGGGCAACACTTAACCGCTCCGCCGCCCACTGGCACGGTGAGGGAGATCTCTTTGCTGTCAGCAAGAGGGCTGCCATTGACGGAGATGTTATAAATTTGCTCTCTGGCTGCTGGAGTACGCAGGCCTGGGGTCTTGAAGACCCTGTGAAGTGGAAAATCTCTGTTAGGATGGCTTGGCAGACTGAATGACACCAGGCGCGATGAGCCCTTCCAGCCCCCATCTGGTCTCAAGCTGTAGTTTTCAAATCCCACATTTCTAAGAAGGCAAATTTTAAATTTAGGGAAAACATTTTTAAAACAGTAATGACTAAACACAGATGGAGAAAGAAGGTTGTAATTATCAAACATACATCTAGCAAAAGTCACCTTACCCATGCAAATTTTAGGATCAAAGCTCCATATGGGTACCACTCCTCTACCCATCCAGAGCCAGAAATAAACTGGTTAATGTGCTTCCAAGAATGGTTACGTGTTTCCATCAAGAGGAACTTTCCGGGGTCAAAGGAGGATGATACAAAGATCACACCACTTTATTAATCCCCTACTAACCTTATCAGGACAGTTAAAATGCTACTCCCTATTTTCCCTGAAATGTCTTTTACACTACATGTTTCAGGAAAAAACAACAAAAACCCAGTAAAGTAGGAATTAAAAGTAGAAAGTAGGTCTTCCTCACTTTTCCTCCCCCAGATAACCACTTCTTGCTCCACTCCTCAGAGGTCACGATGCTTAATTCCTGATCTATCGTTCCAGAAAATTCCACATGTATAAAGCAAATGGGATCATACAGTCAGCAATATGCTGGGAGATGATGCTCCTTCCCTATAAGCACATCACATCCATTCTTTACAGCATTTCCTACTCAGTCAACTATCCCCTATGGAAGGCATTAACTTCTGCTGTAAACATTCTTGTTCATGTCATGTTGACTTCTAAAAAGTTGATCATTTTACTCCTACCAAGGGTGTAGGAAAGTGCCAAAACAGTTTCCAAACACTTCTGACCAGAATCAGAAAAGATCAAACAAGAGTCACATAGAAGTCTCCAAGGTATCAGAGGCAGAATATTCTCCTCTCACATCAGATAAAGAATCATTTTACCACTGAAAATAAGTGAACCTGCACTCAGAAGAGAGGCAAACACTGGGAAACCCAGACAGCTACCATATTCTGAGGCTTCCCAGACCAAGGATTAAGGAACATTTTCTACACATTCCCTCTTGAGTAGTATTCACTGCTGGTCTCCCACGCGAAGCCAAGAGCTGCTCTTAGCACTCACCTGGAGTCAAACCGTGGTGTCAGGCCTGGGGTTGGTTTCACCATAGACAACTGAAGTCTACCTACAGCTGGGGTCACAGTGTTGTCATGGCTTGACCTATAGGTCAAGAAACAGTGATGAGGTATGTCAACTCCAGGTGTAATACGGCAATAGTCACAGAGGCAGGTGACACATGGATAGCACTGATTATCTCAGATTCTGTTCTGGGTTCCCTGTACCCATCAAGTCAAGTGACCTCCTTACCACCCTAGGAGGCGAGCACTATTTGTATCCTCACAGATGCAGAAACTCAGGTACATGGAGTTTGAAGAACTTGTCCAAGATCATACAGCCAATTAGAGAGGAGCCAGACTCTAAACCCAGGCAGTCTGCCTCCAGCACTCAACTTTCCACCCAGGCTGAAGGGGGCAGCCTCAATAACACACAGGTTCCTTAGCTGGGACTCTGCTCCTCTTGCAAGGCAGCTGCTTATCATCCTCCTGCCTCTTCAAAGGGAGAGAGAAGGACTTCTCTACTCTATAGACATGCATCCCAAAGCCTATTCTCCCAAAGTGTTCCTCCCTCCCCAATAGTTTATAGTGAGTCCAGTATAATCAATTAGAGCCCATGGAGATTCCTTACTTAGGCAGGTACTCTACCACTTGATCCATGCCACCTGTCCAAGATTCTTTACTTAGCAGGAACTATTTCAAGAAACTAATTATGGTAAAAGCCACTTTGTGCCTGATTCTGGGGTAGTTCTAACACGTGGACACTCAGACAACTAAACATAACATGTAGTTCTCAACTATACTTTTCTGAGCCCCACTTTGTTGTTTTTTTTTTTTTTTTTCAATACTGGGGTTTTGACTCAGGACCTCATGCTTGCTAAACAAGATGCTCTACCACTTGAGCCACCACACCAGCCCTTTTTTGTGATGGGTTTTTCAAGATAGGGTCTCATGAACTAATTTCCCAGGCTGGCTTTGAACCACAATCCTCCTGATCTCTGCCTCCTGAGTAGCTAGGATTATAGGCATGAGCTACCGGCACATGGCCTGAGCTCCACAATTCCTGCTTGTGTTAAAAAAAAAAGAAAAGAAAAGAAAAGAAAGTTGGGGAAGATAGAGACTGTAGGCAGGGGAACTTGATGAGGCATCAGCTACGACCATTTCTAGGGGCCTCCAGCTCAGACACGCAAAGATTCCATGACTTTAAGCTCCAATCAAACACCAGCTACTAGAGTCCTTTCACCTCAATTTGTCCTGTGCTGTATGGAGTCCTCCAATAAAAACAAAAACAACACACATAACTTTGGAAACCCATTACCTTTTGCTTTTGCGTTTTGCTTGTATGGACTGAGTTCTCTTCCTGGATGGAGGACACCTCTTGACCTAAAGTCACAATCAAACAGGTTATAGAAAACCCAGGAAGGGGAAAGGCAAGGAGGATTAAAACAAAATAAAAAGGAGGAAGAGGAGGGGAATTAAATAGGAGGGGAAGAGGGACCAGACTTAGAAAGGAAAATTAATACTGAACATAAGAAAGTCTATTTCATCAGACCCTATAGGTTAAAAAAAAAAGTCCATCTTAGCTGGGCATGGTGACACACACCTGTAATCCCAGCAGTCAGGACACTGAGGGAGGAGGATGGTGAGTTCAAGGTCAGCCTGGGCTACATAGCCAAGACCCTGTCTCAAAAAAACAAAACAAAATAACAAAAAAAAGAAGGTTCATTTCACAGAACTCAGTAACTAAAACCTGTGGAACATAACTGATCAACTAGGGACTTATACAAGTTGGACCTTCAAAATAGAGGACTTAGGCCAATATTAAAGGAAAATCTCTTTGGCACTGATTGCAGCCTGGCTTGTTCCCTCTACCTTGCTGCTGTGGAGGTCACTTAGAGCAGCCCAGATGACCAAGGCAAGGAAGCCTCTGCAATCATCACCTTCCTGAGTCCTGAGAGTACCTGACAAGAATTACTCCTTGTCTTCTGGCAATTCTAAGCCTGACCCAACTGTCTTTATCTCTGGATGTCCCTTGGGAATCTACCTCAGGGGCCCCTTTCCATCTTTCTTTCAGCTCTCACTGCAGCCTCTCTCCCCTTCATGCTCTCCCAGCACAGCCTTTTCTCCTCCCACCTTGGAACAAGCACCTAAGGAGCTGGGCTGTCAGAGTATCTCACTTTGAAATTCTGTCTAGCCTAGATGTCCTGGAAAAGTACTTAACCCCCAGCAGGTCAAGCAACTGGCATCTGTTCCTGCTCATCCCAGTCAGCCACTGCTCCAGGATCCCATGTTTCACTGGAAGGCAGTTGCCTAATCTAAAAATCATTTAGTCATCTCTGATTCCTCTTTTCTTGTACCAATCATGCTCATTTTTCTTTATAAAACTTATCTCAAATCCACCCCTTCTTTTTAGCTATTATACCTCAGTTCAACCTGACTGGTTTCCTTGTCTTGTGTTTCTCTCTTCCATTTATTCTGAATACTGTTTGAAATATTGATCCAACGTCACTTACAATTACCTATGTGACAGAATGAAAACTCCCAAGCTTGGCACACAAGGTCACTCATCATCTGGTCCCTATTCTCCCTCCATTACTACCAGTTTATATCCCATCCATACCTAACTGCTGCTCCTTAAATGGACACTCTCCTAGCTTGTCCTGGAACTCTCTTCCCTTTCTTCTTCAATAATGGTACTTCACTCACTTTGAAAGGACTGGGTATGTTCCTACTAGGGTAGAGAACGCTTGCCACCCTCCTCTTCTGTGTTCTACAACTTTGCAGCTGTGTCAATGATCACTTTTGGTATTTGCCACTGACAGTGGGATCTTCTCAAACAATGAGCTCTGGGAGGGCAACACTACATTCCATATATTTCTGTGTCTGCTCATCTCCTGCTAACCTTCACCCCTTAACTTGAATTCTACTTACTCTTGCAGTTTGAGGGTTCTTATGTCTATTTTCTTCTTCTTCTTCCTCTATCATTTCATCCACTTGTATTACTTTTCGTCCTGTAAGAAACAGTTTTTTGTTTTTGGTGGTGCTGGGGTTTGAACTTAGGGCCTTGTGCTTGTGAGGCAGGCTCGAGAGGCGCTCTACCACTCGAGTAACACCACCAGGCAAGAAACAGTTTTAAAAGTATGTTATTTCTGATGGGAATAAACTTTCAGGCACTCACACTTATAAGGAATAGAACTTGTGCAATCTTAGGCTGCAATGAAGAAATCAACTCAGAGGCTGGTGGAGTGGCTCAAGTGATAAAGCACCTACTTAGCAAGAATGAAGCCTTGAGTTCAAAGCCCAGTACTGGTCAGGTGCCAGTGGCTCATGCCTAAAATCATAGTTACTTGAGAGGCTGAGATTGGGAGGATCACGGAACCTCACCACTGAGTAAGCAAAACTTATGGAACTAAGGAGAGAAACTGGTATTACCTAAATATGGAAACTACCCAGAGTGACCTAACACTGTAAATACTTGACTAAGGAACTCTAGGAACATTCAAGTCCAATTCCATCATCACTTCAGAGAGGGTGAGTGGAATATGACACCAAGGGAGCAAAAAGCTCATCACACTATCTTCACTGTTCAAGGCAATTCTGACGGAAGTCAGTCAGAACCAGAGGTAGATAGTGTTTCTGGCTATGGTCAGAGAAGGTGGCCTAGAGGGCAGCCTCCACATCCAGCCATGAGTCAAGTGTGGCCACGTAAAGATCAGATGTAGCATACTACTGTAGTGTAAGGACACTGACTGTCCATGTCTCAATTCATTCTGATCAGATTTCATACTTACTAGTTACAACCTGGCTTCCCATACAACTTTCTGTTGTATTATTTCCCAGAATATGGGAGATGAATTTATACAGGTAGATCACTAAATTGAATCACAAAGAATTATATGCTGAGAAAGTTATTCTTTCTACAACTCTCGTTAAGCTCTACTGGTATATCAGGGAGAGTCTCAGGATTACATGTCTTTACACCTCTCTGAACCTTTCTAACTTCTGTTTTCCTTGGAGGAAAACAAGTAAGTATCAATGTTTGGTTCCAACACAGCTTTTCTCCCTCCTTTCATTTTAGCTCACACATCAGACTTAGGAGTTAGGTTAGTAACAGTCCTATGTAACAATTAACTGAATGTGGTGGTCAAAATCAAATATTTGGACATACAAGATTGAGGACCAGACATTCTTGGAAGAGAGAAGCCCCACCTGAAAAGCTAAAAAACTCTCAGGACCTTAGCTCTTTGTTGCACAAGGCATTTTGAAAAATACTCATGCTACCTGTAACACCATTACTCAGGAAGCTGAAGCAGGAGGATTGTGAGTTGGAGGCGAGCCTGGGCTGCACAGCCAGACCTTCTCTCCGCCCACCCACCCCCCAAAAAAATCATTAAAAAAAGTACTCACTCAAAAAAAAAAAAAAAAAAAAAAAAAGTACTCACTTTTGGAAGATTTCAGAGGCGTCTGAATAGCTTCTGCTGTTAATTTGTTTATTTCTGTGATATCCACGTCAGCCTGTGACAAACACAGCCAGAAAATACCAGGCTTATTCCATCAAATATAGAAACAGTTTATTAAAATAAATGTTACTAATACAGCATAGTGAACTTCCATAAACCTCCCACACAACCTAAGACCTAAAACATTGCCAAGAGCTTGCTTCTGGCTCTATATTCTCTTTCCATTTCCTCATTTGCCCCCCAGTTTCCTAATCCTGGCATTACTCAGCAGTAACCATTATCATTCCATTGCTTAGGAGAAAGTTAATGCAATGAATATGTTCACGTATATATGTCTATGTGTGTGTGTATAGATATGTATACATATAAGTGCTTTTTACAAATGTGGAAACAACACACACACACATTTTTTTTCTGTTTTGAGAGAGGGTTTTATTATTACATAGTCTAGGCTGGCCTGGAACCTACTATAGCCCAGGTTAACCTCAAGCTTAAGTGTTCCTGCCTTAGCATCCTGAGTGCTGGGATTACAAGCATGTACCATGCCACCATGCCTAGCTGGTTTTGCTTGTTTTTGACCACTATTATAAATTTGTTTTCACTACTGTATTATATCCCATTGTGTGATTATATCACTATGGATTTGTTCATTCGCCCATCAATAGATCTTTGCTATTGCAAACACAGCTACTTTGAACTGTCTATACACAAGTGTCTGAGGCACTTAATATCCATGTTTTCTCTTAGCTATCTACTTAGCAAAGACAGTGTTACAGGTTATAGGTTACATAAATGTCAGCTTTGATATCATACAAATTGTTAAAATAGTTATACTTGTCTACAACTCACCTGCAGGGTTGGAGGTGTGGCCTAAGTCAAAGAGCATCTGCTTATATATCTCATCTGCTGACAAGTTCCTAATGGTTCCTAATGGTTCACATCCACTATGACACCAGACTAACCAGTTTTTTGCAAGTCAACAAGGTCTCTGCTGGGTGTGGTAGTACATGCCTATAATCCCAGCATTTGGTAGGCAGAGGCAGGAAGAGGATCACAAGCCCAACTTGTTCCAGGCCAACCTGGAACCTGTCTCAAAAACAAAAAAAGTGGCCAAACATGGCGACACATGCCTGTAATCACAGCTACTGGGAAAGCAAAAGCAGGAGGAACTGAAGTTTGAGGACAGCCCAGACAAAGGTAGTGGCAAGGCCTTGTTTTAAAAACATCAAAACCCAGCTGAGTACAGTGGCTCACATCTGTAGTCCCAGCTACTTTGGGAGGTTGATATAAGGAGGATTGAGGTTTGAGGCCACCCCAGGCAAATAGTTTGTGAGACCCCTGTCTCTAAAAATAACTACAGCAAAATGGTCTGGAGATATGGCTCAAGTGGTAGTGTCAGCTTTGCAAGGGCAAAGCCCTGAGTTCAAACTCCAGTCCCACCAAAAAAAAAAGAAAACAGAAAACAGAAAAACCAAAGGACTAGGGATGTAGCTCAAACCGTAGAGCACTTTGCCTAGTATGCATGTGCAATGCCTTGGGTTCAATCCCTTGAGACCCAAAAGTCTCAATAATATTTTCTGATGCCCATGGATTCTTTGAAAAGACTTCCTTAGAGTCACATTCTAATTAGATTTGCTCATGGTGGTGACAAGAGCAGGTATAATCCGTAGTCCTTTCTTTATGGGATTTTTGAAAATACCAGGATAGTTATTACAGACTAGGAATGGCAAAGGTTTCATGTCTGGATTTGTAGGGACTACAAAGAATGCCCAGGGAAGGATTCCTTAGATTAAGCTTAGCAAAAAACTGCTGTAATAGATTAGTGATGTCTATGGTGGTTGATGAACAGAAACTGGTAGTACTCCTGTCAACTTTCCAGCATCTCTAGTAACAACTGGCATGTTATGAAGTTAATATTGGTGGCAGGCCACAGACACTATGCACAAGAGTTAATATAGAAAGGCCTGTTCATAAGATTGGCTGGGAACCTGGATTCCCACCACTAGTGCCTAAACTTTTTTTTTTTTGGAGGCACTGGTGTTTGAACTCAGGGCCTCAAGTTTGCTTTACTACCTGAGCCACTCCACCAGCCCACGGTGCCTAAACTTTGTGCATACAATATAGTTCACATATTATGAACACCTGCTTATTTCTACTAGGCAGATGATGCTAAGCGACAAGCCCTCAATACAATCCTGGGCATCGAATCTCTAATGAGCTTTTCTGATACATAGCATTTCAGATGTTGAATTAAGCCATGTCCTGTATGAACGCCACTGGAAGCTTATACCTGATTTCCTCTGGCCTTCGCCCCATGCACTTTTTCCCCTTTGCTGATTTTGCTTCGTATCCTCCCATTGTGACAAACCATCACCATGAGTATGATTATATGCTCAGACCTGTGAATTCTCCTAGTGCATCACCAAACCTCTAATTCCAGCACTTGAGAGGCTGACACAGAAGGATCACAAGTTTGAGGTAAGCCTAGACTATAGAATCATTGTCTCAAAAGAGACAAGGCATTCTTGAAAGCCCCAACACACCTTCCAATTAAGAATTTTTGGACCAAAGTTCCAAACCTATTCCTTCCTTGGGTTTTAAATCATATTAGCTAACGTTGGAGTTCCTCAACTTAGTATAACATTTGGTCTCTCATATTACAACAGAAGTTGTTATTTATAGTTCTGTATATGTCTGATTAATTTAAAAAGAGGGATATTCATTAGCTAATCAATATAATTCATCACAGAAGCTTTGAAACATCAGATCTGGGTCTGTGTAAGGTGAATAAAATGGATCATGGGAATATATTATGAAGAAAAAATTAGTGCAGACTAAGAATGCTTTACTAACTCTTGATTTTGTTTCAGTCATTCCCATTCTTCTTCTACACTATTTACTGTTAAACTGATGTTTTCCTAAGTGAACAACTGGCTACTAATTACCTTTAATTTCTAAAGCTGGTATAAAACAGCTACTCAGTGAAACTATGTACGCTTTGTAGACATATCCTTCAAACCCAAGATTCCAAATGACTGATCAAATCATGGAAGGAAAGAAGAATTCTACATTCATTTTGTAAGGCTACAATTAATTTTCTCCCCAGAAAGATACACAAATGATTGTACACAAGCAGTTTATATATGATCTTAGCATGCCTAGGGACTCTGATGGACTAGTATGCAATGATGTCTAAAAGAACTTTCTGTAAGGACAAAAATGTTCTGTCTTTATTCTGTCCAACAACATGGAGGCCCTTAGTGATGTGAGGCTGCTGACCATTTGAAATCTAACTAGCATCTAAGCAAATCAATCCATAATTTTATTAACTTTTGCCTCCCATCTTATTGCCTTCCGTCCTGGTATTGATGCTAGAAGGGAGGTGAGAGGGGCTGAGGTATTCTGAGAGCCCCAAGCAAGAGCACTGCTTCTACAGTGTGACATGATAAAGTCACAGTCTCTTTATCTCCTAGAAAGTCAGGTCATGATCTGCCTACAACCTGGGTAAAGAAACTTGAACTTGAGGCTTTCCACTTTCCCTGCCAAGTTCAGAGCAAAGGACCCAAAATTGAACAGCCTCCCTCTGAGGATTTAGGAATGACAAACTCATGTTCTCCAGTGTACTCTCACAACACGAAATGCATCTATGACCAAATGTGTGTGGGTTTTCTCCCACACCAAGCCAGCAATCCAGTACTGGATGCCACTAACTCTAATTCAATTCTGACGCTACCTATCTGAGAATAGATAGGAAGAATAAAATATCCCTTCCCCAATTTACTTCTTTAGCACACTTCACATTAGTTTTTCAGAGAAACTGTGGACCTCTACAGATATAGGATGGCTCTGAGAAGCTATCCCATTGTCCTTTTGTGAAACAAAACAAAACAAAACAAAAAACAACAAACAAAAAAAAACACTATGTCTCTCTGCATTAGCAAATAAGAGGTGCAGGCAGAGCCATTTCCACTGAGGTCTTCTTATCACTAAATAGACAAGGAGGTAAGGATGAGGGGGTAGACTGACACTGGCCCAGACAGAGGTTACCTGATGACTGCTAAACCTGGTAGAGAATAGGACAATCTCTGCTCAACTTTCTATAGCTTGCAGTCACCTTTTTGTTCCAAGTCTCAAGTCCCTATTTCTGGCCCTTTCTTTGAGCATACGTATATGATTCCCATGCTTATGTACATTGATAAATCTGTAGCTTTCCCCCTATTAATCTCTTTTACTAGTTTATTTTATAGGCCCAACTTATTAAACCTTCAAAGGGAAAAGAAGACATGTAAAACTTAAGATGCCTAGGGCAAGGTATGGAGAAAGGGGCACAGAGCTTCCATGCCCTCTCTGGTGTACCACCCCTCAGGAACCTCCATGTGTTCAGCTATCAGCAAGTTCTCAAAACTTGTCCTTTTGGGTTTTCATGAAGGCTTCATTACATAGGCATGATTGATTTAGCATTGGACATTAGTGATCAGCTTAACCCTCAGTCCTGCTCCCCGGGAGGAGGGGCGTTGAGTTCCGACCCTCTGAGCATGGGTCTGTTCCTCTTGCAAGTAGCACCTCATCCAGTGGTTACCCACTAACATAACAAACTCAGACAAGGTAGGAAGGGGCTTGCTATAAATAGTAAAACACTGTCTCTCACCTCTATCACTCCAGAGTTGCTCAGGAAAACAGATCAAATATTCTGACAAAGAATACTCTTCCTACTATAGTCACTTAAGAAATTAAAGGGAGGATTCCAAGATGGCGGCTAGAGGTAGGAAGCAGAAAGCGCGCCTCCTATAGTGAAATCTTGGAGAGACGCAGGAGACACACTTTGCAGGCATAATCACCGAGAAAAGGCATAACTTTGACCCCTCCACATCTCCAGCCGGCGCAGAGAATCTCCACTCCACGTTAAACGGAGAACTGAGGAGGCCCCCGGGGCCGCCAGTGGCCGGCGCCCATACGGCTTGGGAAGACGCAGACCAGGTGAGCTTCGTGGTACCGCGGTTCCCCCACAGACAAGCCTGGGCCAGAGCAGCATAGCCCCCTGGACAGACTGACCTC